ATGAACTCGTTGACTATCCCATCCGCTCCTGCTGCTTTGTGGCACTTCAGCTTGTTCACACACGCCTCAACCTCGTCCTCAGTGAACTCCTTTTCTAGTTCTACGTTCCCAACGTCTGCCTTCGATGTCTCTTCTTTCTGGGCCCATGCGTCCACCTCCTTCTTAAAACACTTGGTCAAAAGCTCCATTCTCCGAGGGCACTCAAAGTCTCTTGTGTCCTGCTAGAAGTTCCCACTATTCCCTTGCCACATCTGCTTGACGTTCCCCTCCAGGCCTCCGTTGGCCTTCTGCACTACTTCGTCCCAAATACACTTTTTCTTCTTTTTCACTAGTCCCTTCACCTGTTTTCTCTTGGCCCTGTACTTTTCCCAACTCTCCTCAGACGCCTCACTCAGGTACTGCTCGAAGTCTTCTCTACGTTCCCCTATTTCTTTCAGCTCGTCATCCCACCACTTCACCGATACCCCACGTCGTACCACCTTCTTTCCCACTACTCTCTCTGCCGTTGTGTTCACAATGGACTCCCACCCTTCAATCACCCTGTCCCCTGCTGCTTGTACGTCTACCTGTCCGTCTTCGACGCCAAGGGTGGGTGGGGGGCGGCATGATGTACAGTCATCCGCAACAAGCGCCTGAGGACACGAGCCATTTCGGAGTGACTCTCACCTTGATTACCACGGGCCCCTTGTTGTTCTTGGCGAACACCGTGATCTTCTCCACGGGTCCGAGCTTCTCGCCCTCCGCCAGCAGGTCGGCCTCCAGCTCTTCGCCAAACCTCTCGTTTGCCTAGTCGAGCGACGACGACGACGGCGCGGCACGGAACGGAAAAGCCGGATCGAAACATGCGCGCGAAAAAAGGAGTTGGAGCACCGAACCAACATCAGGACGAATCGAGCAAACTCATGGGCCTGCTCTTACATCGAAAGGTGGCTGCTCCCCGCCCCCTCCCCCCCCCAAAAAAAGGGAGTAGAACGGTGGGCCAAAGTTGGGTGCAGCGGTCGAGGGAAAACCAGACTCCAAGCCAAAATGTCAACAAAAGAGCGAGTATCATCCGCACTGGTGAACCAAAACTAAAACGTTGGAGGTTCAACATCTCGTCCAGTGGTGTCTCTGGCCTGCCATGTTCGGTAATTCGTCTTTCGTGCTGCGTACAGTGGAGGCCATAAACTGCCGGTTGGGTCAATCTGTTAGGCACGGTAGAGCTGAGGAGGATCCCTCGTCGGTTCTACCTCGGTCACAGGACTCCCCTCCCCCATCCTTTACATGGGAAGATGTCGGCCTTCTGCGAGGACCCCGATTTCGCTTTTCCGGTTCGCACTCGGTGCTCGTATGTCAAGAGAGTAGCAACGCCTTGTCTCCACAAAACTTTTCTCGGTTACGAGATGGCGCCACATATTTCCCTCACCAGTCTTATCACGTCTGTACGTTCCGCACACACCCAACTCTTATGTTTCACTTAAATAGCGGCTTACATGCTCGGGTGGACACAAGGTGTGTACAACCGCAATGAACCAGGCTCTAAGGTTGTATTTCTTCGACGGGGGGTGGGTGGGGGGGATGAACGTCTTGTCCTAGGCATTCCCAAAGGGCGCGATCGGATCACGAAGTACTGACCTCGAAGTCTGACGGATGGAACATGTTCTCCACGACGACGATCTTAAGCCCCCCCTTTGTTGCGCCCGTGTCGTCATTCTCCGCCCACGACAATGCCTGCTCCGCTGCCGCTCTTGCCACCTGCAGAGAAAAACACGAATGAAAAAAAGGCCCACACCAAACAACAAAAGATCGGGTCCAGAGCAAAAGGGAACGGTCAGTCCGGTTCACCAAAAAACATGGTTAGCCGCCTTCGAACAGGTATTAAGTGCGGTCCAACCGAGCATAGGCGGCGACGTTAAAATGCGCGCCGCTTTTGCCCTAGCCATGTCGAGAGTGAGCAAAAACACCGGGGCAAAAAACTGTCCGCTGCGCCTGCTACATCACGCTATGTGGCGGTACACACAAAAAAAAAGCGGGTTACCGTACACATCCCAATCCCCGCTCCAACGGGTCTCCCCAATCACACAGATACAGTTCTCCACATTCTTGGCTCTAGCGCCGCACGCTATTCCTATACGGCGATATCGTAGTGTGCAACGTGCCCCTCCCACCACGCCCCCGTGTAGGTGAACGTTAATCTACTTCGGTTGTTGTTGGGTCAAAAGAGGCGCAACTCCGTGACAGAAGCGCTGAAATTTAGCGCGAGAACTCCCGCCTGAGTGACAACCTCAAAACCATCGGGAAACACATAATGTACTACACGAAGTCGAAATCGACACAGAAATTCGCTTGAGGCACGCTTGGCTTGAACATAGAGCAGTAAAGGGCTCAAGAGGCAGTCCATTGAACACAAGCTGGTCACACAGGAATGACACTACTGTTGTCAGTGTCGCCTGTTTCGGCTATCCCGCTGCTGGGTCGGATGTGGCCACAGATCCAAGAGTTCGGGCAATTCGATGGTGTGAAATAACAGCAGCTGGACAACACTCAAAATAGTAATAATCTACGCCCCATATCTATGTGATGGCGCGAAATACTAGCAACTGGACAAAGCACACAAAATATTTGCCGCGCCATACCCCACCTTAACACGGGCGTCGTTGACCTTTAGCCGCTTGGTGTTGTCGAAGCTTTGCCCCTTTTGTTGGAAGATAGCCTTCGACACCTGGGTATACATGTAGCAGATGTTCCACAAAAATAAACGAACACGCCCGATTGAAAGTATTTAAAAGCGAAAGGGGGCGCGGCAACAAAATGATGAACAGGAGAGAGATGGAGAGCTTAGGAGAGCCCTGCACGAGTTGTGGAAGGGAGAATACGAAGAAGAGCTAACCCGGAAATGAACCCCGTGAATGTCTTAGCTTTCGGTCAGCCAAAAGCCTCTTATCTCTGGCCTCACCATATGGCTCCAACAGAAATTCCGTACACCCCCTCCCGCAGATTCGACTATTGTTATTAGTATTAAGCACGAGAACCACACAGCAACGGCAGTCTGCACAAATGCTTACTGCACCCCGTGCGGGCTAACGATTATTCAGCACGGCACCCCGTAACAGATGTAGCGGTAGCAGCAGCAGGGAAGCAGGCTTACATCGGTCCGGGTGAGGTCAGCCCTCGTCTCGTCGTCAGTGCGACGTCTACGACAGCAGGGAAACGGTGCCACTTGGTGGGGATGGGGCCCGTGGAGTCACGCACCTCGATGGTCACTCCCGGCCTCAGCTGTCCCTCGTGCAACACGTTGATGGCCATCTCCACCGACTCTGCCTTGGCGTAGCAGACGCTGCCGTCGCCCTTCGGGTGTCCCTCGCCATCTCTGGCCAAAAAAAACAAACAACAAAAACGGTCACGTAAACGACACGGTGACAGCGCGGCGGGTCATTAGGGTGCCCAAACCCCGCCAGGTTGTAGTAGCATGGCGGTCCTCCCGGCATGTATGCACCAAAACAAGCGAAGGCGTCAACCAATCGCCCAGATATGGGCCTTATGAATCGACGCGATGGCAAAACTGAACCTGTTGCTTGACGAATTCAAGCGATGGCGGTCATTCTATTGTGTTGGGGGATAGGGGTGATCTGCCCCGTGCCTGCTCGAAACCCGAAAGAAATGCCACAGGCGCATGTGACGGGGTATACCACATCATCACACTCGCGGGGAAACCATACGAGCACGAGCAACACGTATCATGTGTGCATATGCATAAATAGAAGAACGTTTAATACCGTTGCCGTCAAGAGTACGAGTGCTATTAAAAGCACACCACAACAGCGGTTGGTGCTAAGCACACAACATTTCCAAAACTTTGGGTTGGGTTAGTCATTGGTCTCATCATTGCCTTCACATTACTACCGAGACAATCACAGTGCAAGTACTGTAGGAAGCGCGGCTTGTCCGGGAAAACTAGAGGCAAGTGGCGCCATACTAGACAAAACGCGAACTCAAGTCTACCAGAACGGGTGTTGAAAGTGCCGCAAAAACTATCAGCCGAGCTGCCTCGTCTCGCGTGTAAATACCAATCTTACTCTTCGAACACCAACATTGCTAGCAGGTCTTTGCCGACCGCATATCGACCTCATGTACCAATGCTAAAACGTTACCAGTAGTATGCCTCACTTGTAAATCTTGATCTTGGGTTGTTGTGTCAGGGGGTCCGTAGCGATGATGCCGCACTTGCTGAAGTGCTCCCTGACCTCCTCAACCTCTATGTCCACCGGAAGTCCTGCAACAGACGCAACAACAACAACAACAACAACAACAACAACAACAACAACAACAACAACAGAAGCATCAGGGAAAAAGGCCCGAAAAACAAAAAAGGCACGTTCAGGCGGACTTGAACCATGCCTACACCGCCACGAATACACGAGATCACATCCCCGGAGGAATCTTACGCCATTGCTGACTACTGTACAATCAAAGACACTTGACCATGGCGCTTCCACATGAAGGACAGGCAGCGGCCTGATGTCCCGCGATAGTGAGTGAACCACAAGCCAAACGGCGTCCGCCTTCGACTATCTCGACTAACTCATACAGCTACGAGCACAGGCAAGCACAAGGCGCTGAGACTCTGAGGTTGTGGAGGCCTGAACCGACAGAAGATCCTAATAAGCACACGGTTACAAGGTTCGCGCCGGTTCAAACGTGACCAAGATACAATCATCACTTGCTATCAAAACCCCCAACATGGAACGGGACTGCAGAAACCACCGCAACAACAACGGTAGTGATGACCATCAACACCACCGCAACAACAACGGTAGTGATGACCATCAACACCACCACAACAGCCATGCTCTGACCCTTTACGTAGACCCAGAGGTTAGTGGCCTTCTTGTTCCACTGGAGCCCTCGCTTCTTCTTGTTCTTTTTCTTGGCCTTCTTCTGTTGCGCCGCTTCGCTAGTGTTACCACTACTCTCTTCCGCACCACCCGCCTTCTCTCCCCCCC